AGCAAAGAATTATTTTAAATGACTGGCTCATTTGAAGTCAGGTTTTCAGGTATTACTTCACCAGCTAAAAGTTGGTGTTTACATGAAGGCAGCGCTTTGTTTGACTCACCCTGACAAATCAGAATCGACATCAAAGTGGATTGTTCGAGACCACGGCGTGTGACATTGGACAAAGCACTCCTTTCCACAACAGACATTTTCCAAAAACATAACTTGCTATGCTAATGGGCAGCTAGAAGCCAGAATGACTGCCCTCCGTCTTCTCCTTGTGCAACTTTGCCAGAGTCCTTGGAAGTTGCCAGATTCGGTCATGCCTGCTTAGCTTGCTCGACTGATTGTGCCAGAAAAGAAAATAAGACACAGATGTATTTGAGCTCTTTGAGATGCCAGTAAGAGAGACAGCTAATGGCTTCATTTCGACCCTCCCCTACCAGCTGGGCACAGGTGGGGGATAATGAGGTCCCTCTCCCTAATCAAACTCAATTATTTACTACTCTATATAACCACAAAGACATTTACATTCAGCTCAGAATATAAAACACACTGTGGGCTACTTCCAACCACTGCCACTGGGTATTCGTAACAAACTCAAGTGGCTAAGAGTTTGCGTTGGCAGGAGTGTAAGTGTATAAAGTTTTGCAAACTGTTTCTGTTCAAATATGTCCTGCTGAAACGGGGTCCCAGGCGAGGTTCCATAACTGTCAGCTCAGTGAACTGCATAACATCTGAGAGTGCATTCAACATACAGCACGGGCAAGATCTTGAAATAAAACGCCACATTTCATCATGAAGCTTCTCAGAAGCGTCAATTTTTTCACCCGTGATACACTATTAATAAACATTACCAGTCACTAGCCTGACACAGCAGCAACCGGGATACTTAAACATAAGGGGAATGAGAGCTACAAAACATAAAAACGTGATTACATGCACGAGTCGAATAAGAGCAAAGGAAAAGAAGATGTAGGGTCTCTCAAAAACAATAAGAAACACTATATGCGGCTACATTTAGGGAACATGGAATAATTTTAGATCCCAGGAACCACTAGCACAGAATTTTAATATAAATTTTTTTTTTTTTTTTTAAATACCTGTTTACTCAGAAAGGGCAAGCAATTTCACAAATCATTACCATGCACATGCCAACAATACAAGATTAACGATTACACAAAGTCTTTTTGTTTACTGAAACATTACTTGATACAATCTTCAACATTTTTGCAACTGATTGGACCTTCCAAGCCACAAAACAGCTTGTTTTTCGTTTCCAGGAATTATTTTACCCCAAAAGGCAGCTTTGTCTTTGCTCAGTCCATGTTCTAACAGAGATGCCAAGTGCAATTTCCCATTTTTTTAAAACAGAGAACTTTTAAACATACTCCAAGCATGGAATAAATGGTGACCAAATGCTTGGCTCTCCCCATCCATTTTGCTGCATTTCCAGCTGTGCCTTAATCTTGCCTTGTAGAGGATACAGGGCACTGCTGGGCCACCCTGCAGTGCGGAGAGTCTACACAGATCTGGCTAGAACAGATCTGTGCAGACTCATGGTCCCCATGCTATCAAAGGCAGAATTAGGGCCTTTTACTTTAACACTAGCCTGAACACCTGAATAGTTAACACTGAAATGATTTTGACCCGAAATGAAAAAAAAAGTAACAAAGACTGATTTTAATAAAAATAAAACTTGAGCTTCAAGACTACAAGACTTGTGGGCACTAGGGATATAAATACTGATTTTAAAATATGTCCACTTAACCTGTTGTAATTAGAACACTTAAGTGATTAATCGGTATGGCAACCCCCTGCCTTGTAGACAGAAGAGATGGGGAAAGGGGGAGTGGGGCCCAGAACCCCAGTGCAGCTGCTTGCAGCCTCCCTGCTGCCTGCTGTGAGCCACCCGGGCATGGCGATGGGTGACAGGGGCTTGCCCAGAGCCCAGGCTGCTCGTGGCAGGTGGAGGGGAGGCTGCAAGCAGCTGCACCTGGCTCCGCCACTGGCACATGGCAGTCTTACCTGGTGGCAAGAGCACCCAGCTGAGAACCACTGAGGTAAGTTGAACACAACAGTGGCTCTCAACTGGAGACAGTGCACATTGAACAAAGCAGCGGAGGGGTGCCTGGACTCCGAAAAGGCTGAGAGCATCTCATTTGAGTGCAAAGAGTTTCACAGGAGGCCAGTAACATTGCTGCAGCATTCAAGGCTTTATAGTTCAGGGTTTTTTTAAGTTAAGAAAAGATCTTCTTCTTGATGGTGGCATTTAAAAAAGACAAGATTTGTAAATTAATTCATTAGACATTTTAATCTAAACTTGCAATTGGGTGTGATTTCCCATTTTATACAAACTGAACAATGTTAATGTTTATGTTATGTTTAGTTTGCTTAAAATAACCACTGTTTTAAATCGCCTTAATTTTTGATTGTGCCACCTTGGTAGAGAGAGACCATGCCTTTCCGTTGGGTTTCCTGCAAGTGGGAGACCCAGATCTTGATTTGCTACATGTTGGCTTACTCAGCCAGCAATTTCCTACCTGGCAGAAGCAGAAGATTACACTTCTCTGAAAATTCAATTGGAAAGACACCAGGAAATCTCATGAATTTTGCAGCATATTTGTGCAGGTACAACGCTTATTACAGAGTGCAAATATACATGTTTGATTTATCTGACCTTTTAAATTTTAAGGTAGGCAATGAGTGGCTTCCATATTTATGTCTTATTTGATTATTTCTGTTGTTTTAAACAGAAACAAAGAAAACGGTTTTCTTCTCTCCAGACAGTAACTGTTGCCAAAAAAGAGATCAAGTCAGATTTACGAATACTAAATTATGCAGACTGCATATGTTCCATTTCTATGGACAATGAAAGTGTTTGCAATTAGGACAGAATGAAAAGAAAAAACACAGTTGCTTCTCCAAGACTCAAGCAAATGGCTCGCTAATTTACACCCATACCGGCACTGGCTTTTCTTTCACTGCACTCTAATGTTCTCACACTTCATGAGCTAGAATAATACCGCACTTCAAAGTAATGCAAATTTAAAAACTGAGATTTTTTAAAAGGTCACGAAGACTTTATTGTTTAAAAGGACACTGCCAACGTCAAGAGGCACATCCGCGTCTGAGAAGTTTGTAGCTGCTATTGTAAAAAAGAAATCTTAACTTACATGACAGGACAAAAAACCCCTCAGCCCCCATTTCATTTCTTTATTCCTGCATTTCACAGCGCTCTGTGGACAGCTACAAGCACGGTTTTGCAGGTGGCCAGTTGGACTTCTGGCCCAGTGACATCTGCCCCATGCATGTCTCTGGCTGTCACCAACATCATCGCATCACCCAGGCCTCACACAAGGGAGTTACTAACATCAGGAGTGGAAAAGCTGAGCCCAGAGAGAGCTGAATGGGAGACACGTGCACAGAAAGAAGGAGAGGGAAACACCAAGTGTATTTGGAGGTGTTGCTCTTCAGCTTCTTGGAAAGACACACAAACATTACTAAAGTAGATTTTTTTTTTAAACGTCACCATTCAAGGTGACCATATCCTCTCTAAAACCCTGACCCTGTGGAAACATATGCAAGTGTGGGCAAGCTGAGCCAAGATGAAATAATGCAATCTTTTCAGTCTCAGGAACACCTTCTTGGCTTCCCGGGGAGCTCAGAGGTCTACTCCTGTACCTGTCACATACAGACTGGGATAGTGAGAGGGAAGCCAAAAACATTTCTGCTCTCCCCACTATGCAACACAAGCACCACTTGTAGAAATCTTCTTTAGAAGCAGGAGTCTGACAATACTATGACTTCTCACTCTACCCTCCTGCAGTAATGGCAAAAATTAAAGTGGCTTGACTAGGAGTCCAGGGCAGTCTGCCTCTACCATTAAAGCAAAGTACCAGAGGGAGGCAAACTGAGCTGCTTCTCAAGGAAGACTTCAGTTGCACACACTGCAGACAAGTGAGACTTTGGATCCATCCTGGAAAACAGGTATTGGCTCATAACGGTGGATTCCTGAGAAAATCTCTGGATGAGATATTCATAGGTGCACATGACAGTGCATACAAAAACTAATCAAATAAATCTTTTTTTTTTTCCATTAGGATCACTCAAAACTGGAACCGACCCTATGGCCCAGAAGCACAGGTCTTTTCCATGAGCCAAAAGAATATAAATCCTTCCAATATTCAGGAAAAATATATTGGCACTTACTCCCACAAATTACACTTACAGTACATTAGCACTTATATCTATATGGGCCAAACACCTACAGATATTTTGGCTTGCAAAACTAATACGTTGTTGTAGTAACTGACCTGGTATTTACACCAAAGATACAGCAGCTAAGATGCACTGGTCCAAGTAACTGTTTTAAATGATTTCTTTCTGGAAGGAGCAAAAAGCCATACATGAGAGAGGTAGAGCTAACTACATCATTAGGTGCTAAGCCAAAGCTGAAGTACTGCCAAGACTCAAGAAGCCTGGTTCTCTTACAGCTACTTTCTACATAAGAGTGCATTCATTTCATTTGCTAGTCCAGGCACATTAGACTTTCAGCTAAAAGAGTAATTTTGCAAAACAATGGTGTGACCAAAAGGAACTGAAGATTACGAACTCAGTAGGTATTTGGGGGGAAAACAAAAACAAAGCCCCCCAGATCACAAAGTATTTCTCAGCAACAAAAGCATGCAACACTTCTGCACAAAGCAGCATGGTATATTTTCTGCAGTTTTAGAACCATAAAGATTCTGGTTTTAGGATTAAAGAGAGGTATTATAGTACTTACGAGACAAGTTTAAAATGGAAACTAGATTTCCTGCTCACATGGCCCATACAAGATTTTACATGCAAAAGAAATGACTTATGAAAAATCTCAAATATATCTAGGGCGTGACTTCTGATAAATTCAAATGCATAAGTGCAGAAGGGAGAGGGGGGAAAAAGTGTGAGCTGGGATACAGACTATAAGCCCAGATGTGAAGATAATTTAGAAAGCCGGTGTCAATACTCACATTCGAACAAAAAGCGACTGTTTTGCTGCCAGCCCGGGAGACGAGTACTTTTCAACCAGTGCCAAAGTGCTGAAGCCAAACTTATGAATGGGCTCGTTGGAATCCAAGGGTGGAAAGTCTGTGTCGACCTCACCATCATCTTCAGCAATATGGAGACAGTAGGCATTGACATTGTCACTGAAACAAACAAAGAGCAGAATTATTCCAGAGGGGAAGCTCCATCGGCAGCTAACTTCTATGGCCCAGTGTCAGGTGCTAAATGCCACCGACAATGAGCCAACAGGCTCCTGTGGTGTAGAAATCAATATATTTTAGAAATCACTGATTAGGCGTATTTATCCACAGTTTCAAGCCTTAGGTTCTCCAGCTAAAGTAATTATGTGATAGTAGGGTGAAAAGAAAACCTCCAAACAAGGCAGAGCAGTATCATATGATCATTAGCAGATTTGTAAGCAAACAATGACAAGTCGGTGATTAAAATATATCTAACGCTATTAAAGTTTTAAGACTTGCCAAAATGGCAGCAATATTTTTCCCATCAGTGCAAATGCGTTTAATTATGTGACAGTTAATTTTTACAGTGAAATTTGAATGAGCAGTTTCTATTTCCTTCAGTCTTAGCTCTAACAAGTGTGAAAAAACGCATTGTTTTGTAACAGGATATGCTCAACCGGTGCAGCGTGCACTCAGATATGTAAACAGTGCAACAACTGTGCCAAGGAAATACGTACATGAAAAGTCAAAGATGTGTTCAACAACCAAAGTTATTACAGTGGAAAATAAGCCACAAAAAAACATCTCTTAACGCCTACACAGCCCAATCAATGAAAGCAGTTAAAATTATTATGCAGTACTGCATGGGACTAAATACTGCCCAAGTTCTCAGACACATGCTGTGAGAGAAAAAAGGAAAACCGATTTCTTTCTACATGCTAGAATCGGGAGAGATGTAATTCTATATAAACAAAATATAACAATGGCACATCAGCTTTTCTTATATTAAAATCTAAGCACTAACGCTTACGTTTCTCAGCTATAAATCCGTACTCTTTCTTATTAGAAATCTGCCAGCATTCTGACTTGTTCCAGAGGCATGACATATAGCCTAAATGTTCACATGGCAGTATGTTTCTAAACTCTGCAGTTTAAATTTGGAGTTTTAATTACTTGATTGATGCTTAAATTAATTAATTGCAAAGTGTATGCTAATTGTTTAATTGGTCGCTTGATCTATATAGATCATTTTTTGAACTAAATGAGTTGATTTACAAAGTTTATTGATTGGATGTGACAATGAATTATTTCGCTGACTACCTGATTTGCAATTTTCCCAATTAATTCACAAACCTTTGGTTGCAACAGTGCTTATTGAGAGTGCTTGGTCCAGGTGATCTATGCGCACAGAGTCATGACTAAGATATTTATTATACAAAACAGGTAATAATGACATATTAATATTAATCTAAACTGTAAATTTGTTAAATGAATGACTAACAAGAAAGTAATCCAGCAATGTTTGTCACTATAAATTTTGTAAATTCTGCAATGCTGTTAAAGAAAATGTTATGAGCCCTTGGACTCCTGTGAAGAATTTGATACATCACTGTAGAACTGATTTTTAACTTCTTCAGGAACAGAGCAGCAAAACTTAGAAAAACGGGTGCATGGTAGCATGGGCACAGAACTTAGATATATGCAAGAACAATCTAGATATTAAGGAGGACTTTTACTTGGGATTTCCAGCAGCACACAGTAACACAGTTCTGCATGCTCAGTGTCCTTTTTAAAAACAACTTAAAAGATCATCCCATTGCAGGACATGCTCCAGCCTGGAGGTCTGCCTGACCCTGCTCTTTCACCTACATGTTCCATGACTCCGACCGCGAATCCTGTGGCTGGGACCTATGTGTCCGGCAGAATTCCCCCAACATGTAAGCAATGTACACCCATGGCTCTAGTAATAACATTAAAACATCTCTTTTGTACCTGGTGCATGTGCAAAATTCCCACTGGAGCAAGGGGGAGATACTACACACTTTCTCATGCATGTGTGTGTGCATGATCAGAAAAAAAACCCCAAGTGCCGAACTGGCAGAGCTTAAACACTATCCTCACTCTGTATGTGCCCTGCTATATTGAAAGCATATGAAGCTGATCATGTCTTATGAACTGAAGGTGTTCCAGGTCTCTCCAAACAGGGGACATGGCTTTTGAGAAATAACACACGTGCAGTCAACTCTGAGCTCTGCTGATCTGCATCTATTTGTATGTGTGTTAAATCAGGAAATAAATGTTATTGTCTGTGAAAAATAAGAAGATACTAGTGAGACAGTACAGAGTTTGAGGTTTTTTCAGATGTAATGTTATGGAAACACATACCTTAAGACTGAGAGAAATGTAACCTGCTCTACACACACTACTGCTTCACAACTGTTCTAACGTTTGTTAAAAGCTTGTATTAACACCACGAAAGAGAATTCCTTCAAAGCATTTAAGATGCCCTCAAATACAAGACGCACCCAAATTTTCTCGCTCTCAATTTAAGAAAAAAACGAGTAAAACATAAGAGTATGCTCTTTATAGTCCACATAAGAAATGTTTGCTTTTCTTTTTGTTTTAATTAAAGATATAGGTTATCTCTAGAAAAAGAAAAATTAAAAACATATCCTCTATCTGAAGAGACAAAACAACATAGATCCGGTTCTAATAATTAATTAGTGAAGGTGTACATTATATTCAGGAAGTACCTCTATGCATAAACTATGGAAAAACAAATCCAGTTGATACATTTATAGATTTTTTACTACATGTATAAATTCACATGCACTAAGCTAAGACGACAGACTAAAATTTCTCTTTAAATGGAAAAGTCTTGAAACTCTGATTTCATTACCAAAATAATGGAAGACATTACTGTAGTGAATGCAGAATTGTCAGTTTTTAGTATTCTAAAATAAATGTGTGGATCTAAAAGTCTCTGTACCCCAGTTGATTTTCACAGGCTTTTGGAAAGTGGAATCGCCAGAGCACATCCATCACCAGTCAGCAACAGGACAGTCCGGCGGATTATAGACACCAAAGTTCACACGCAAGAGGCCAGGAACAGGGTTGCTAGCTCTATTTAGGCTTCCTTGTCTCGAGACATTGAAGAGAGACCAAATCACAAAAGTGGCAGGGCCACGCAGACACAAGACATTCCCAAAGCTCCCAATTACAACTCATTCATTGTGGACTCACGAGTCTGCATTTCAGGAGAAAGAAAGTGATGACAAGATCTGGCTCTCCTGAAGCCAGACAGAGGTCTACCTCCTCATTCTTCCCCACTAAGGTTATTAGCAGCTATGCCTGCTATGTTGTGTATTCTTAGATATGAAATAAGAAGTAGGTTTAACCCATGTATATTTAAATGCTTTCTTCTAACTGACTCTGATGGTTTTTCATCTGTAAAGCAACTAGATTTAGAACTAGCAGAATAGAAAGTAGAATATACAATTTATACAATATAAGTTATCTGAATCTCCTGATGTAGAAATGAATTCTGGAAATTAACCTGGAGTTAAATGGATCCTCATTTGTGGAAAGGTGTGAAACAACAATGACAAAAATAGACTAGGGAAACAAGAAAACAAAGGAAAACTTCACACTAAATAAAACCGACTTGGAAATGTTGACTCTGCCTCTGTCCCTGAACACCAGGGCTCAAGTTCTCAGTTGCCTCATGTAGTGTCCCAATGACCTGCAACACTTCCTCTAGTACTGATCTGCCTGCAGTTGGGTCAGCTCACATTTTAATACCCTTCTTGGCCATCGCCATTCCCAGGGAGACCTTCACACCACTCCCCAAAAACAGAGGTTGGTGTTTTATTGGATATTGTACTCATTTACTTTGGTCAATGGGATGTGTACCATGTGCCAAGAGAAAGTGTGCCCAGAGACTCAGACATTAGTTGTATCTTGTACATTTAAAAATAGACTAACAACGCTCAAAAATCACCCAAGGGATCAACAAAAGTTTAACCAACAGAAAATGGTGATTAATAACGGCAAATGAATGACAGCGTCTGCAATTACTCCTACATTTCTCCACCAGTGTCAGAACGCTGAGGTGTGTAATACATCACAGGTCTCAATATCTCATCTGTTCTCTTGCACAACTAGAAGAAACTCTGGAGCCAAAACAACAACCTACAAAACACCTGGTCCTTGAGATGGCTCACCTTCCAATGCTGTTGTACATCCACAACTTAAAATCGGTTAGCAATCAGGGATCCTACATGAACACAGCTAATTCTTAATGCCGCAGACACAACAAGCATTGTCCTGTCAACTGTGCTACTGAGACAAACCTACCGAGTTATCAGCTCACTTCTAAAAACACATGACTCATGACTACAAAAATATTCCTGAGAAATCCAGGAACAAGGAGCAAATTTGAAAGTTTGACTGATTTAACAAATAAAAGCATCAATTAGGTTATCTTTCCTTTGCACCAGAGATGAATCTCTTATATTAACTAACTACTTCTGACCTCTTGTGATGCAACAAACATGAGGGTAAGTATTTCTGCAGACTCTATGGAGGCTTCTAAAAGCAAAGGTATCCAGGTTAAGAAGGTATGCAGTAACTATTTCATGGAACATGTATGACCGATCACAAAACCATTACCTTTACTAAAAGGAGCAAGTACTCTGGTGTGACAAACTAAATCTATTTTTCAGTTTCACAAATTTAGAAGCAGACATTTTCGTAGCAAAGAGGTAACCAATGATTACAGCAGATATTGAAAAATCTATTGATAGATTGAAGCCATAAAAAATGTCTAAGCATAACAGTATATTTTGATCTTTTTATTGCATGAGTGATTGAGGAAAGTTTTACTAGCAAATATAAAAGGTCTGTTTTATGATAAAGGGGTGTCTCAATTAAAGAATAAAGCAGTCTTCACAATTTCAAGTAAAACTAAACTTTTATGATAAATTTTGCATGTTCCCAATATCCATATCTTCCTTTTAGTGGTGTCTTCAAAACACTTACATAGAGGATAAGGCATCTTAGACGCTTAGCCCCCATACGATCAATTCTTTAGGGAAAAAGAAAAGCTTATATATGTTTCACATTTTACAGTGCAAATATTCCACAAATTACAATAGAAGGGAATTATGTTGGCAAAGTGCCATTTTTTAAAGGGAGGGAATAAAATTAAAGTTGTGTGCACAACTTTAACCCTGAAAGTATTTGGGCACAAACGCCCTTCTTCAGGCATAGGGAGACTCTTCCAAAGTCTCCTTATGCCAGAAGGGCGTTTGTGTTCGAAAGCTTGCAAAGACCATTTTTTCCAACTGTTTAGTTGGTTTGATAAAAGCAGTCACATCAACCCAAAGAACCTTGTCCACCTATGTCCTTAGAAAAAGATGGCTACAACCAATAACCCTGCAACCTTAACTCTGACCTCTTTTGTATACTCATACAACACAATTTAGTCATCTATTATACAGATGCATAAACTGTCTCAAACAAAACCCTGGCAGCTCACATCAGCGATGTGGCCTTGCTCTTACTAATCAGACAGTCAGGCCAGGGGCAGAAAGAGACCCCGAGATGCTGCACACCACTTGCTGTTATTCTTCAAGCAGGTTTACAGATTGTTCCTACCTGGTGCACCAGTGACGTACCTGAACCACTAAGCAGCAGTGCAAAAACTAGGTCAGGCATAAAGTAAAGAAACTGTCAGTGACACTAAGAGTGGTGCAATTTATCTTATTTTTACATAGAGCGTTTTGAAATGATGATTCATTTACACATCCCTGGCTTCATATGTTTAGCATTACAGAGTACCCAGTAGTTTAATTGAAAGAGAAATAGATACAGATGTGTGTGTATCGCTCACAAGGAAGTATTGATAAATGTGTAGGTGGTTCCTGTAAGATTTATCTGTAAAAATATTGGCATGGAAATCCATTTCATTATGCAAAAATGGTTGTAGCAAAGAAAATTAGAGATCAAGAGGTGGCAAAGAAAGAGCATTACTTTAGTTTGGGTTCCCGTCCTTCACTCGTGTACTGCCAGCATATTAGTCCAATCAGGTCATGCACCTTGGCATTTGCTATCGTCACAACTGTCATTGGCTGTAGTTTGTCTTGGCTTGCATGCAAGGGGAGGTAGACATCAATTTTTTTGGTTGCAGTTGTTCCAACATGACCCTGTTGGAAAAAAAAAAAAAAAGCATTTTATTAAGCCAAGTAAGGGACAGTGTAAAACAGACACCGCATGCCATTTTGTGTGGGCTACAGTCTATTACAGTGGCTAGAACCAAAATGTAATTCTTTTACTTTCTAAATGTTACATGAGTTATTATGCATGTTTAAATAAAGTTCAATTCTTTTAAAGCTATTAAAAAATCTCTGTATGGATGATTGTGAAAGATGAGTCTCACGTTAGGCATATTTCATGCATCTTCCCAATGGGAAGTTCCCATGGGGGGAAATCAAAACTGTGGCAACGTTCCCTATTCCCACAAGATCTTAAATAAGGAACAACTCTGCCACCCTACCTGCATTCCCAACTAAAACTTACCGTCTCTCAGCACTGGCTGTAATGCTGAAATTACCCAGCTCTTAACTTTTGCTCTTTCCCATCCCCTTTCCCCTGCTTGCAGATGACTGCTGGGATCTCTTCTTCCCTTGACTACAGTCACTCTTCTCCGTGGCATCCCTTCCCCTAGCTCTGGTGTGGGCAGAATCCTGATGCCCACAGCATAAAAAAATGCTCAGCTTCATTATCAATATCAGCACCAGTCCCCAGTGGATTCAGGAGACAGCTCAAAACTGCCCTGAGTTTTTTAATTTTCCATGAGTTCCTCCAGCTTAACTCAGAGACTGAACCTCCCAGCTCCTCCTCTGGTGGAGCAGAGAAGGGCTCAAAGGAGTTCCTACTATTGTGCAAAGAGGGCTAAGGGTTAATGTGCAGGGGGCTCCTTCCCACTGTACATAAAACGGGAGGAATTAGAGACTGGTACTGCACATAGCAACAGAAAGGAGGAGGAAAGGGCATGCAGCGTCACATCTGGGAGAGGTCAGGCTGGGCAGGCCAGCAGGTAACAACAGAACATAAATTAGTGGGACATAACATGCATGAATCTCATGGGTGCAAAGGATTCAGAAACACTGCCTCTAAGCATAAGGATTACATGGCCACGGGCTACAAGCTGCTGCAAAGAGCTCCCACCAGGGAAAACCTATGTTAACCCTGCACCCAAGTAAGAGACTCAACATCGCAATGAACGGCCACGCAAAGAGATGCAGAGGGGATTAGCCGGTTACAAGTAAACATGCTGTCTGGATGTCCAGGCAAGAACAAAACCAACTTATAACTGACTCCATAGCTAACCATTTAAAACTGAAGACAACCAAGATGGATTAACTGGTATCACTGCATTTTATTGCAATTTATTGTATTAAAAAAAAAATCTATTTGGCACCAGAGAGATTAAGACTTAATTGAAACATAAAGAATAAAGCAACATAAAGATCTATTAAATGTGTTAGAAGACAAATCTATAGCTGATAGGACTCTATTTTTAAGCTAATAATCTTTTAAGCAGCAAAAATATTTTATATCCCCCCCACAACCCCAACAAATTAACTGACATAAGGATGATATCCTTGCTTCATACCAAGAGAAAGAATTCTTTGTTAGTAATTCCAAGTAACTGAATACAAGTATTTATACTTTTAAGTTGCAAAAGTAAAAATAATTTAAAAATGAAAAGAATTAACCTTTGCATGAACGGTTGAACTTGAAAGTACTGAAAAAATCCCCCAGTAATTTTCACCCCCTTTTCTGTCCAGCAGCCACCACTACAGACATTCACATCCTGTTCTAGGAGCGCTGAGCAGCCAGGACACGAGGCTCATGTGCTGCAGGATGCCCAGTGCTGCTGCTGCTGCAGCTGAACTGCTCTTAGTGGTGGGAAGTGCCTGGAAAGTTCCCTCCTGTATTCTGAGCCCTTGCCAGACATCAGTACACACTGGGCTCACTATAGGATAGTTACCTTTCTGGCTACAAGAGCTAGAAATGAGATTTAAAAAAAAAATGAAATCTGAAGTAGAACACAATAGATACAGACCAGAGGAGCTCAAAATCTTTTTAGCAGGCAGAACATGATCGGCCAAGTCATGATGGATCCTTATGTTCAGTCAGTACGCAA